CAGTCACGGGACCAGGAAATATAGGACTCTATCAGCAGCTGATGCATTTATTTCAATTAAAAAGTCAAGATTTAACATTGGTCCAAGTTTGGTTGGTGAAGCACCTATACTTTAATATAGATTATGACAAAAATGCTGTTAAACTGAAGTACTGATTTTAACAGCTTTGTTTTGGAAATTTGAAATTTGAAATATTGACTATTCTTCGGTAGGTGCTATACAGTATCAATCATTTGTATTATGTGATTAGTCAATGTTATGTATATGCAATATATTGTTGGATTTGACCGCTAAATATGCACTTATATGCAGTGATTGTTATATTAGTGTAGTGTAATGTTACGACAGACTATATTCAAATAATTTAAGATAAGATTGTTTCATGTGTAAATGCATTGATTAATTCTTCAAATGTGATTGATGCTATTGATTGGTCTATTTTAAGGTGCCCCGAGCCAAAGACTCGGTTGACCTATTCCGCTCACCTATCGTCCGTCGTCGTTCGTTGTGTGTTGTGCGTACTCCGTAAACTTTTAATACTTCTGACTTCTTTTAAAGAACCAGTGGTAGATAGTTTTAAAACTTGTTGAAACTCACTCTTCAATACAATTTTGCATTGATTTGAAAAATATTGTTTGACTTAATTAAGGTAAAACAATCACATGCCTATATATATAATCAAGTTGAATCAGAATGTGGATTCGAACTTGCACTGTTGATTTCTACTGGTCACAAGTTCACTGCGTTACACATTAGGCTATTTATGTATCGTCTTCGAATGAAGGAGAAATACTGTATAAGTACTGGTTCTTCTTCTTCTGTTTTTTGTCCGTAACAAAACTTTTAAACCGTTAAAGATATATTGATGACACTTGAGGCATGCATGCATCACCCACAGAAGGTGTGAAGTGCACTGGAGTAAGGTCACTGTGACCCACACCTCAAGGTCAAAGGTAAAATAAGTATAACATTTTCAGTAAATTCTTGTCCGGCCCGTACATTTTAAAACGTTTAAGAAATCATGATGAAATTTGAAATAACATGCATCACCAACATAATGTGTGCAGTGCACTAGAATTAAGTATCGTGCCCCACTATATACAAGTTGTGGCCCTTTGTTTATTTTCAATACCGAAGTTTGTCCACGGCATAACTTCCCTGCTATTTCACCTACGTTGACCAAACTTGCTATAGTTCTGTATGTTGGACGGTAGGGGTGTCACATTTAAAATCCGGGTCTCGAATCCCACTTTATAAAGAGATGGAGTCCTTTGTTAAAAAGATGTATACCGAAGTTTGTCGATTGGCTAATAAGGGAAACATATGCTTTTGTTCATAAAACAAGTTTCTAGTTTGGACATAAACCAATATGGAAATACAAACTTTTTAACCCAAGAAACACTTGTCACAATTTCGTGAAATTTGATCACCCCTGTTTTTCATTAATTTGAGCACTTTCCAAAAGGAGGACCACTTTTCCGTCATACGGTTTGTTATTGCATATCGCATCCCGGAATCATTAAGTTTATTCAAAAGTTGGTCCTTTTGACGGAAAATGTTCAAAGTATTGTTGTTTAAGTCTGGGAAACCCTATCACTTTCGTAGATACAGTGAATATGGCTATACTGTCAGTATTATATTAACAAAACTTAATATCTCAGCGGTTCAAACATTTATATTCAATTTACTCATGCTTTTTTTCCGTTTTCATAAATACCTATTAAGGGAAATATGGGCAATTAACTGGTATCCGCCACAGCTCTTTCACATGAATTTTACTAGTTATGCATTATGCATGTTTTTTTGTATTATTTTTCAGAAAGACTGGATTGATCTTTTGCTAATTTCACATGCATGTTCCCCATAGTCCCTTGTCATGCATATATTGTTTTTGGACTGACCTGAAAACCCGAAAATCTTTCTAAACTTTCACATGAATTTTTCCTATGGTCTCTTGTTATGCAAATCAAACGTTTGAACTAAATAGGATATTACGATCGCAAACAGGCAGCCAGATTGAATTTAAAGTTAAAGACTGTTAGTGCTATTTCACCAAAAAGTTTGGAGGGATCTTTCTCATGAAGGTTTCTCTTGGTTCTTAGCTATGCATTTTTACAATACAACAAAGACAGAAAGGGAAATTGAACTAAGGTTTATTAGCTCATAATTGTTTTACTGTACATATATAACAATTTGGCATTCTTGCGGCTACTCTGTATGACTGCCCTTGGCAGCTGATATATGATATCTGCCAGTGTAGTTAGTATTAGTACATCATAATTGGAGCCTGTAGATAATCGCATAATGTTAGTCTACAGGTGCAATGCTGTAATTAGGGGGAGCCCGACAAAGACAGTCTAATCTGTATTGTCACATGATACAGATATATATTAATTACTAGCAGATAATAAGGGTACTAAATGTTGTAATGGTAGTAATGTATCCTTACTGGAGCATGTAGATAATCATCTGCTAGTCTACATGTCCAAGGCTGTGATTGGGGGTTATCCCGGCAAAGACAGCATATAACCTTCGGGCGTTCACAGGATACAGCAACATATTACATAAACTGACAGATAAAATGGTATCAGCTTGTAATAAGAGTAATTATTATTAGTGTATCCTTAATGGAAACTGTAGATAATCATCTGTTAGTCTACAGGTCCAAGGTTGTAATTAGGGCAGGCCCGTTAAAAACAACCTATAGTCTTATCACTGAATACGGAGAAATACTAATAAAAATGGTGGAAAGACTGAATTGGATGTACAATTTAGTTTATTGAATTTATTGGCCGCCTCGATGAATTTATTGGCCTACTATTTATCAAGTCATTTATCAGTCATACAGGTACCCCATTGTAAATTAAGTAATGCAAGAAATATGATACAATATCTGCTTTCCCTTCAAACGTTTTCTAGCAACTTGCCTATCGTCACTATACTTACTGACCATTGGTCAATTAGTCACTTGACCACTAACGAATATTCTAATCTCATAACTTTATTGCACACGTTACCTTATTGATCCTTCCTCTGAAACTAATAGCTGTCACCCCCCTATAACATGTACAATGGTTATGATCCAAGCAATTACAAACAAACTGTATACACACACTGCACACCAATAAAATATACTACTTTATCTAATAAGTAACTACATGTCTTGCTAGACTCTCCCTTTATTCTACCTAATAAAATACACAACACAGCATCTCAACAAATCAAGCTGTTTTGAGCATACAGGTAAAAGTTGTTTTCTATAAGCTTGAATTTAATCATTAAATTAATATTATATATTTGTTGGCCTGATCTGAAAAACAATGTGTAGGTTCCCCTTGGTCCTAGGTTATGCATGGTTTGAGACTGATCTGAAGAACAGGAGAGCTGCCATGCAGACTGACCAAACAGATAAGAGAAAATTGGAGAACAGATTGAACTGACATAGAACTAATGAAAATGGTACGATAGTGGGCGCCAATTCCTATGGGGTCATTGAAAAGCATTTTGATACATATAACATTTTGTATTTTAAACTTTTTCAATCAAATTTTTATCTTTCAAAATCCAAGAGATTAGATCAACTCTTATTTTCCTCCCATGAATGTTGCTAGTTAGTATTTTTTTCCCAGTTACACCTCAAAAACATAAATAATAATAAATAGCATTTGAACTAAGTTGACCAAATACTCCTATGACTATTGTCAAAAAGCACGTTAAACAATATTGCATCTAAAAAACACCATTAAATATTGAATGTTAGGACTTGATAGGGCCGGGGTCAACAGGGCCAAGCAAGTACATGTATGTCTTCTTTAAATTAAATGATTTTGAAACCGAAAACAAAACACATGAACACATGATCGTTTGCCTTTATTTGAGCAATTGTGACGTTATTTTATGTGTGCCAACCCTTCCTCTTTCGGTCTCATCCCTACGATTTTCACATAAACAAATATGCCTTACAATTCCTATTCACTGTATGATGTTGTATTACTTTTTTCCGATTCTGGAAATGTCTGGCCGTTTCCGCATCGTTTCATTATATTATCCGTATTGCAGTCTTCCCGGCTCGTTGAATAAGCCTAGAAATTGAAGCATACATGTGACGAAAATGTGCTCTTGACGAGAGAGATAAAATTGATAATTCAGGTAGCCCACCACAAAATATCAATATAAAAAAGCAGTTGGATCAAAAATGTTATACTAGAACACAGATAATAACATTTCCTTTGTCATTAATCAATGTTACCCCCCCCCCCTCACCTCGCTGACATCTCTTGTCATCACTGACACTTGCAGATAAAGGGTGCTTATCACCTGCAGCAGTACCTCCATTTGACCTGATGGAGAATTAGCGACAAGCTATTGATCCAGTAGTGCTGAAGAGCATAGTGTTGAAAAGCTGTGGCCAACAACCCGTCTCGAACATTGACTTGGACGACAATGACTGACCTGGAGCTCATGGAAAACCATAGCCTGATCGCTTAAATGTCCGAAAATCGGCAAGAGTTGGGAGTCACATCACGTAGGGCTGGAGTTCAACTTACTGTCTTACTATGGGCCATTGTGCGACCTTAAATTCGTCACTTAGTTGTACATTGTAATGCTTTACCCTCACCTCACTAAATATTTCGCAGGAATATATACCATATATGTAACTATTAGAAATTTTATTTCAAGATATTCAACTCCATATTCGAATTTTTTGTCACTTGACAAATTGTGTCATTTTTTCCAGCTTCAACATCTTTCTTTACCCTTCAGTCTCTCGGTTTGTTAGAATTTCTTTGTCATTGTTTGCACACACATAGCGTCAACGATGCGGTCCATGTACATTCTGCCTTCTTGTTCATATGTAATGTAAGTGTTCTGTGTTTTTCTGTGTATTTTTCGATGTCTTGATAAAGAAGTGGATTGCTCCAAATTTTGACAACTTTGTATTGTCTACATTGTTGGAAAAGCTTGCTTGTCCAATAAACAATGTTTATAATGTATTGTAGGTGGTCCACGAACTGTTAGACTGTCCCCACCGGCCATTACTTACACCAGGACTGACGGGGATATGCTACCGGACATCACCTGTACAGCTTACTGTATACCTGGCTGTGCATTTGTCTGGACTAAACCTGACAACACCAACTTTACTGCCTCAGCTGTGTTATCACTGGGACAACTGGACAGATCAGAACAGGGAACATACATATGTACTGTTTGTAATATCTACGGATATTCAACTATATCAGCTGTGGTGACAGTACAGTGTAAGTTATTTTATACATAACTGATTTTTTCCGAATTCGGTGACATATTATTTTATTTCTATTTTAAAGTTTAACTATATGTCATCACAGTTGTCTACAAACAGGCTGAATCAAATTGTCTTGGTATGAGGACAATTAAATCCCACATTGTATCCAGATAATATAAATTGAAATGCTTCAAAGACACCTGAAGATAGGGTATCGATACCACACATATGCTGTGTACATGTACCATGGTTCACCAATAATATTTATATTCATATTATGCCTATATGAACCAAAAAAATATCAAGAAAGGTATACATCTATTTGTTAGTCAATATTCACCCTATTAACCTTATGTCATCACAAATTATGTTATAATACTATCTGTTGTCAATAAAGTCTGTCTGCTAATTCACAGTAAAAAACATACATGGTTATACTTATATGACATGTTCAGAAATAACGTTCAAAAAATACAATTTTATGACTATCATAAACAAATCATAATTATAAAGTTTGTTTTCACAGCATGATGGAAATTGATCGATGAAATATTAATTCGATTTTGGAATGTCATGTTTAAAACTTTGTTGATATCAAACGTTTCTATCTCAATTGTAAGGAGATATGTTACCGTTGTGAATATTAAGGGGTCCTATGTTAGGTGATTTAGCGTGTCAGATAGGAAAGGAGATGCGCCGATATCAGCCACATAATGCATTGTTATTAACGTGTAATCTGATGATGAGGGAAAAAATGATTTTGCTGTTATTTAATAGTAACTTCGTGTCTAAAGATAAAGCACCTGTACAGTCAGGCCAAGTATCTGGGTGTAACACTATCATCTGACCTTAAATGGGATTCACATATAAATATTATCTGCCCAAAAGCAAATTCTACGCTAGGCTTTTTAAGACGAAATCGTAAAATTCGCTCAACATCAGCCAAAGTACAGGCATACAACTTATTAATTCGACCATCACTTGAGTATGCCTGTACAGTATGGGACCCTAACACCCAAACAAATATTGACAAGTTGGAAATAGTCCATCGAAGGGCAGCGCGCTATGTGCTCAATAAACACAGGTACAACCATCGTACCTCCAGTGTGTCAGAAATGTTGGACCACCTAAAGCTGCGCCCTCTAGAGATGCTCGTCTGACCATGCTTCATAACATTGTAAACCAGAAAGTCGCTATCGTAAAATCAGACAGATTAATCCCTACAGTAAGAAAATCCCGAACAAACCACCAGTTTTCGTATCAAATCCCCCACTCAAAAACTCAGACCAGAAAGGCATCATTCTTCCCTCGAACTATACCCGAGTGGAATAAACTCCCACCTGACATTATTTCTAGCCCCACAACAAAATCATTCAAATCACCCCTCTACCGTCACTTTTCAAACGCAAATTAGACCATCTCGTATCTTTTAAAAACAATCTCTTACCATGTTTCACTCCTCGTCTGACATTTTATCTTCAAATTGATGAAGTTGGTCAGTACCATTTAGAAGTAGAAGTAGAAGAATGTGTAAGCGAAGTTTCTCGGGAAATTTACTTAAAATTGCGTAGGGACGGCTAGACAGCAACTCTTTTTTTTATTAGAAGAACTGATGTATAAAAACAGCAATTGCAATAATTACGAATGCCTATTGTTCCAAATCACTACAGGTGAAAATCAATCCAATGAAATATGAACAACTGTTGCAAAAATATCTCTGACACCAAATGTTACCAAACCATCTTATACAACTTAGTTCTATATGTATCAATCTATATTTTTTAGACGGTCCTGATACTGTTACCCTATCCCCACCTGACACTTTCTACACCAGGAATGAGGGGGACACGTTGCCGGACATCACCTGTACAGCTGGCTGTAGACCTGGCTGTACCTTTGTCTGGACAAAACTTGATTACACCAACCTTCCTGCCTCGGCTGTGTTGTCACTGAGACAACTGGACAGATCAGAACACGGAACATACAGATGTACGGCTAGGAATGTTGTCAGGGAGTTGACCACAGCCATAAGTGTAACTATATTATGTAAGTTTTCATCTGTAAAACTAATATATTTTCTGCTGTAATTTTTACCTGATTTTGATTACTTGTTTATTTAACATTTATTTGTAAAAGCTATTTTTTATCAATGGGCAAATTCATCTCCATTGGCTTAATACAAGTGTTTTAATAGTTTTTTAACATACTATTTGGCACTTTCCTCATGATTCCCTTTTGTATTATTTGCTTTGACCATAATATAATGTAATGAATAATGAGTGGATACCAGAAGTCTAAACAAAACTGATAGCCAAAAGCTTTACGTTTTCTTTTAAAAAACAAAATTTGCGATGGCTATTTCTTAATTAGCAGGGGTGCATTATGACCCTAACTCAGCAGGGCGGTGATAGCAATTATTACTGTAGTGAAGGTCAAATTGCAAAAGCCTGTAAACATTATTAACATTATGATAATTATGACAAAGTTTGGTATGACTCTCGCTGATACAAACTTCAACATAATGTCCGAAGCTGGTGGAGTGCTTCTAAAACGTGGTTCAAGAAAACGAATTGTGGCTGTAAGAACAGCGTAGACATCCAGATATATACAATTTAGAGCCAAATTCCACTGTGTAATTGTCGGGCCATTTCTGTTGCCTTATATAACGAATGGATTGATGGACACAATGCGGGGCAGTGCATTTGGTAATGATAAACATGTATGTACCGGAAGTTAGTTGCAATCTCGTTGCGAAAAAGAAAAGTGACCAGACATCTCTGTGACGTAAATTATCTGTTACGATGCTGCTACCACACACATTATTCCGTTGTTCATATCAATAAACGGCAAAAATATCAAAAGGATAGAGAAATAGTTCGAAATTATTTGCCTGTTGTAAAAGATAGCTCGACACATATTAAGCACAGCATTTGACACAAGGTTTTTCCAAGTTGTTCCGCAAAAGAGTATTTACCACCTCGTCAAAATATCACATGAAACGTTGCAGATCTACCTCGAAACAGCCCCCTTGTGTAACGACGAGTTGAACAGATTGAGTAATGTGACATATGCGCATGCGCAAGTGCATCAATACGTCACGAACATGACTAGGAGCTAATTTTGAATTATAAGTTCCAATTGAACAGAGCGATTTACAATTCGGTGTAAGGCCGCGGCAGCCAAATATTCACAGTATGCAGCGTCATAGAGTTTCGACCGTTATGCCCTCGATATCCATGTCTCTGCAACTTGGAATTTATCAAATCGAAACTTCAATCGATTGGCTCTAGACATTATATACTAATCATTAAGCGTTAAGCAACTTGTCCGTTGAAGATTGAAATTTGCTTCACCAACATATATACCGTTATGCTGGCGCGCAATTTATTTAAAATATATCAAAGGGTCAAGTTCGATAAATCAATAACAGTTTCGAATTAAATTGTAAAATAGCATCCGCATGGTTGCGCGAACACAGCCTTCGTCTAAACTGTGTAACAGTACTTATCCATGGTATGCTGGTGGGCGGGAGTTTAATTGCTGCCATTAGTGCAACTTGAGCCGGACCTCTAAACAATGTCGTAACCAAGTCATTTACAATATACTGTCTATCTCTATATGACTGGTAATTTAATAAAACAAAACGTTTGCTTATGAACGGCTGCACTAATCGAAATATAAAAATGCACCTATTAGCTTGAGTGAGATACATTTTAAAAGTTGTTTCATTACTTAAGAGTCTTGATTGATATATATATATTAAAATGGTAGATATCATATTGGTATTTTGAAGTGTTAAGGGTGTCGGATAAACAATCTGATGGGTTTAAAACACGTTGAAATTGTGTACCTTTATAAAAAAAACAGGTAAACTATAGCTTTACCCGTCACTCTTTCGATGAAGATTTTGTATCACGGAGGAAACAACTGACGAAGCTATAGTTATACCTGTCACCCGTTCGACGAAAATGTTTTGTAATTTATTAATAGAAAGAAGTGTTTGTCAACTTAAGAGATGCAGGTCTTTTCTTTTCATTATTATTCTTTTTTACAAAGTATGAAATTCAGGCAAAGTATTATTTCATATCAACATGACTTAACATAAATACCACATGCCAAAGGTAAAACTATGTCATATCGCGGATACACATAATTCCATGTTCTTGCTAATACTATTGCATGTGAGGTAGTGATACACTTTTTTACCAGATAACACTACCTAACCTTCATCTCATAACCACGCATTCAAAACATCGAAAATTATAATTTCTTTACTAAACGTGGATATAACACTACAGGCAGTCCTAGCTGTATAGAGTACATGTTCCACCTGTTAATCTTTTCAGATGGTCCTTCAAATGTGAGTTTGACCCCGTCGACCACATCCTACACTCCAATAGAGGGACATACTCTCCCTACCGTCACGTGTTCGTCTGACTGTAACCCAGTCTGTACCTACAGCTGGACAAAGGATGGACAGTCCCACACAACAGGGTCAGATTTACAGCCCACCGATATAGTACGTGGTCAGACGGGCGTGTACAGGTGTATGGCCAGTAATATATACGGGAGTCGGACATCTAGTGACGTCAGTGTTACTGTAAACTGTAAGTATTAATAACAGTGACATGACCGTCTCTTGATAACTCTGTATCTATGCATGCTTAATGCATTTTCCTTTTCCTTGATTGCATGATCGAATTGAAATGAAAAATAAAATATGCAAGAACATGTCATCAATTTAACTAGCATAAAGAATAAAATTGTATGATCATTTCATTGTTTAGGGAAATACAAGATATGATTTTGTTCATTACAAATGTACTTATGTATTCATTTACAACATATATGTACATATATATGTATATGGGGCAAAGAAGTAATTCCAACAGTGTGGACAAGTTTAAGTTGTCAAATTTTTCGGAGCGATCCGCTCCTTTATCAAGACACAGTGAAACAGAACAGTCACATGCACATATACATGATATTACAAGAAGATATGTATATATATATATAACTAGTCATAAATCGGACGGACGAACGACGGACGCCGCACCGTGACGGACGCCGCACCATGACGGTATTTTCCTTTAAATAACTTCTGCTTAAGAACGAACAGGTATAGAGCCAAAGCTCTTTTTAAATCGGTTTTGGAAATATTTCCAAAATAGGTTTTTATCAAATCATTGTTTTCCCATATCTTATTTCGAGACCGCTTCGGGGATGGAATTTCACTTGAACCTAATACTTTTTTTTTTTTTTTCTGATTGGACGGTCTGCATGTATGATTTATCCTGAAGCCAAGCTCGACTAAACCCTCGACAGACATGTATGACATTTATTATCAAAAAAACATATATAATAAGTTCACGCTTTTGTATAATAAAATCGTGCAAGTATGTGAGTAGTTGTCGATCACCTCACGTAATTTATAACAATTCCATGTCAATAAGCCTTTGGGCAGACCGTGACTCAACTCGACATTGAATAGCGATAATTTGTTTAGAATATGTTTGCTTTGGATTGCAGCCGGTCCAGATAAATAACAGGACCGGAATGAACATGTTGTTTTACATGGATTAATATGCCAACTTTTGTGAAACAATGCTGGTTTCCGGAATGGACATGGTCTGGTTTATACATGGTTTAACTACTATGAATATATAAGGAATATGTTGGGACTGGGACCACAAATCACAGCCGGTTTAGACTGGGATCCGGATTACACAGAGGCCGGTTTAGGGAGGTTATACTGTACATACTCAGTGGCGAATACTGATCTACAAGGTTGTCTGCCCTTTTCCCTGTTAAGTTGTGCACATATCTCAGGAGGTACCATATGTATCAATGTTATGCCTCCCAAGAAAAAATGTGAACGACAGTCAGTCTATGTCTAGTTCACAGGAAGAAATCAACTGAACAACATTTTGATATCATTGTTATTAAGTTTGTTGATCTTAACCAGTTGAGTTTTGTTATTTTAAGATTAATGTACACGTATTTACTTAATAAAAGTGTCATTAATAAGCTTATTCCACATAGACCCAATTATAAGGCCTTGTAATGTTATATTGACCCTCGGCCTGCGGCCTTGAGCAGATATGACAGACCTTGGCCTCTAGAGAATTAGATGATTAATAACCCTATAGTATAGATGGAATTAACACTTTTGGGTTTATTTTGTCCATTTTTTGGTAGGGGAATAATTAAACTTGGAGATAATCATTCTTAGAGGTTAAGAGTTAATTAAAATTGTAAAACTGGGATTCCTGCCCGAAACCCCAAGGCTGGGCGGGCCCCAAAAGGAAATGTTACCGATACATGTATTTACAAAATAATCTTTTATCAAACCTCAAATGTACCAAAGTCAAGTTCTCTTCATGGATGAAAAGATCATCAGTTGCTTTATTTAAATTGTAAAATCCAAAACCCATGAGCCATTCGATCTCTCTTGGGAAGAGGATACAATTTACTAAAGTTTATTTTAGGGAAATCTCACTTTTGGGTATATTTTGTCTATATATAGTAAAAGGTTATTTAAACTTGTTGAGCATAATCATTCAAGGACGAGAGTTTTTAAATGGAAAGTTGGGATTCCTGCCCCGACTCCAGAGGCAAGGGTGGGGCCTCAAAGTGAAATTCAGTACATTCAAAATATTCTTCTCCAGACTACAATAAAATATCTGTATGGATGGAAAGGATATCAGTGGCTTTATTTAACTTGTAAATTTCCTAACCTCTGGGTCATCCGTTTGCCCTTGTTGTAGGAGTTTATTTAAATTTATATTGGGAAATATATCGTTTGGGTCTATTCTTTCTCTTCTAAGCAAGAAATAATTCAAACCTGGTTTGAAATTAGAATCAAGTAAAGTCCTGATTGGACAAAGAGGAAACTCGGTCAAATGGCAATATAGATATTGTATTTTTCCATAGCAACATAATTAATTTGAATATATTTTAAAGTTCTTTTCCTTTGGTGACACTGCAATCAATGCATTTCATTTTGTTTACGTGATGATTTTCAATTCACATATCAACAATGAAATTAAGCAACCTATAATTTACCTCAGGTGACTGTTGAGTTTGGCCTCTTGTTATTTTTATGATAGGTTTAGCCCATTCTTATTCATTCAACTAATTTAAAATATACATAGGTATCATTGTCTTAGTTGCTTGACATTTAACACGGAAAATCAATATGCTTGGTTTTGACAATAAATATACATTTAGTACACATTCATATATGTATTTTGTTAAAGTTGGCGGAAACGTTTTCTTAGAGCAAACTTGAAAGCCCTTCATTCATGCAAGATACTGCCTAAATTCAATTACACTAGACTTCAAAGCTCTCTGCAAAAATGGTCATGCTTTTTAACACTTATGAAACTTGTGGTATTTAATAACAGTTATTCAAATTAACAGTTTTGTTTCCTGGTAAATAGGCAGTGGTCACTTTAAACATATCCTGGTTAATGGACCTAATATTCAAAAATGACTGGTTACAAGATCATTCAAGAATAAAAAAAACAGATTTTTTTTCACAAAATTTGTAAACTCGATCTGATATTGTGATTATCGAGAAAGGTCAACAGGTAAGAAAGAAAGCTTGCCTATAAGATATCTGATGCATTTATCAACAGCTTTTTATAGTATTGCTACATCGATATTAACACATGGTGGCCAAATCAAAGTTAATGCTTTAAATCTAAGTTATTACAGTTCTACTTCTTGACAAAAAGACATCTTTACAACAGGAATCAATTTCACTATTTATTCATACAACAGCGTGATTATATCCAGTGGTATAAATATTAGAGTCGGTAGTTAATAGGAAGAAAGTTTCACTTTAATGCTTTAGGGCTTTATCTTTTAAAAGCCCACATTCACTGTTTTTACTTGTTACCAAAAAGCTCGTATGCACTTTAATCATTTACACAAAAACCTTTATCACTTAATGTATTGTTTGCTGACATAAATCTATCACTAAGCTTCCTAGCTAATAAACTAAAGGTAGAGATATTTACCCTTTGGATTCTAAAACTTGACCTTTCAATTTGTGACAACTCTCAACATGATGAAATAAAATAAGTCAAAAGCTTAGGGGGAATGCATTTCCCTAACAGCAGCCAACATATTTCGTTAAAGGAGAACAAAAAACTCGAGTAGTTTTGCCTATAATGCTTTCTTGACATGACAAAAAAAAAAAAAAATCTTGTTAGTATTTATATTAAACTTGTTATGAATATCATTTAAATGTATACCATTTGTATAATTATGTAATAGATATATTGTAAATTTGTATGAGGTTTTGATGGTTAGCTGTAATGAACGTATCTGGTCGTATGTTTGATCTTATTCCTATATCTATTCAAATAAAAATATTGAAAATTGTCAAAAAAAAAACAGACACTAAAAATAAACTTAATTTTTTTTCCCAGATGGGCCAGGAGACAGCCTAACGTTCGAACCGATGCAAGATGTAGTAGAGAGGTTTGAAAACCAGACTGTCCCAAACATAAAATGCTTTGCTGACTGTATACCCCCATGTACGTATAGCTGGTCCAAATCAGGTAAAGTTCGTCCAAATCCACTGTCTCTGTCGAAGGTCACGAGGAACAACGCTGGAACATACACGTGTACAGCTAACAACATCATCAGCCGAGGAACAAAAAGCTGGCAACTAATCGTCAAATGTAAGCATAACAAAGTCGATTTATTTGTTTCGTCAGACGTTAAACTGAATAAAAATCTGTAAAGCCAAATCTTCCAATTCAAACCGAAACTTTATTTTAATACATAAATACATAATTAGTTATTCTACATTTCAGTTCCTCCTGAAATAGACAGCCTTGATTACAACCAATGAGACGCTGGTGTGACGGAACACGGATCCAAGACTCTCATTTGTAAGGTGGATAGTGTCCCATCGTCTACAATAACATGGTTCTACAAAAACAATGGCACTGAACTGTTTACCGCCACAGATGTACTGGAGAGTAGCTACACCCTGACTGCAGTTAGCTGTCTAGACACAGGACTGTACACCTGTTCTGCCAGGAACAGTGTTTCTAATACAGCAGTGGCCAAGGACATAAGGATCAACGTTTTGTGTATGTTGTATTTTCTTTATTGATTCGAAAACCACGAAATTAATATCTGACCGAATTGTTGACGCTATTTTTTTATTTTTTAGTCATTAGTAATACATATATATATTCTTACTAAAATGACCCCATTTCGACATTATGTTTAAAATCAACTTTTTTTGCAGCGTTTTACTTGAGCAAAAGCGATTGCCGCCAATCTTAAGCTAGAATCACTAGAATGATCGAAAAAGTAAGCAACCGATACATGCACATAATACAAACGGCGATTTTTATATTATTTCCCATCGAATATTAACGGCACATCAATTTTAGTTGATATAATCACAGATAATATTGTTTCTCCGTAGGTCAAATATGTTCAAAAAACGTAGGCAAGTTTTTTTTTAAAATGAGGTCTTTTTTGAAAAAAATCAAATAAAAATGGCTTATCTTTCCGTCGCTTACTGCTTTTCGTCTCCAGATTGAGAGTCATAAGACGACCTAAGCTCTAAGTCGTGACCATATATCCTGTTCGCGAACAAAGAAACTAAAGTCAGTGAAATAGTCAACGGTTGATAAAGTCGTTGAAACCATGTCGCAAGGTTAATTTTGTACTCTGAAGTAAGTTGAAAACTCAATGCACATCTATTATCCATTCAAATTCTGCAACCTTATGTTCCCGTCCAATCAAAATCGACAAACATATCTTCCCGACCATTCAGGTCTCGAATGATCAGATAATTCGACCGTATCTTTCGACAAGGTGTCACATCTCACCAGGGCTCCTTTAAAAGGAAACCGGCCAAAGACATAATTGAAATCGTTTTCCCGACGTAACATATTACAACAGTACTTATTTCGAGGAAGATACTAGGAGTGTTTTCCGTTTTATGGCAATAGTCCTGCAGTTTTCGGTGAATTTCTCAAATTAATTAAATCATTTTATCCATATGAACAAAGGGGAGGTGTTTTAGATCAAGTTCCAAACTTTCGGGTTTTGTTTGCATGTTTTAAGAAAATGTCGGTGTCATTGAGATATTGAAAACAAAACAACAGCAAGAACACTTTCGATGTTTCATTAACAAGCACTCTAGAAATATTGCGAAAACGTCGCTATTTGCATTATCCATACCCCTACCCATAAACACAACATTCTCCATACTTTTGAGATCAAAGGGCGATATCTGCGATTTTCATGAGATTCAACTATAAAGAAAGTATTTGTATGAGGGGATCACACGAAATGACCAAGGCGCTTATTAAAAACATTCTTGCTGTAATAAGCATTGCAACGATGAAAATATATGACTTCAATCCAGGGTTCACACCAGCTTTAAAACATTCTTACGTTCAAACTTTCGCCGAAGTTAATTTCCTTGGGCCAAATTTGATATGAATGAGCCAAATAGTCTAACCCTTTCACCACTGTAGACCATAATGTACTTATCCAGATTAATGCATGGACGTGTTTACTAAAGTTGCATAGGGGTGAAAGGGCGCCTTGGTCAAACAATTAAGTTCAATACTTCCCTTTTTCTTTCAAAAAATCCCACCCACCCCGGGAACTATAGAATAACACAAATCTTATACATTCAAAGATATTGATAACAGAATAATTCAGAATAAGTGTAATCACTAAAAAAAGGTCAATTGTTAAACCAAAATTAAAATCCTTAATTTCGGTCCAGATCCGCTATGACACTTACATGTGTATATATTTAGTCAGCACTTAGAACTTCTAGTTTGTCCGAAATAACGTTTTTGGGGAGGAACAAAGAATATAGTAAAACTGTGTCCACATTAAATCATGTCGTGAAATGTTTCGACAGTCTGACTTTTTACTTTTTTGCAATTTAAGTTGTTTTATTAGCATTACGTTTTGAATAATCGCGGAGTTGATGAACATATTGGCTTAGATATAAGGATCGTGTTTCATCGAACATTCTTGTTTGCTTTTATATACCAGTTAACTGTGGTTGGATGTATTGGATAACGATTCATTAGACCTCTCAATTATATCCCCATTACCCTTGGTTAGTAGTTAGGACTCCTGACCACTGATGATCACGTAGTGTTTGCTACGTACATAGTGTGCCAATAGGCGTACCATTCATATGGGATTAATGATTGTAACAATAGCGTAACACTAAGCAGTTAATTAGGCAGTTAGTTCACCAGGATGTGTCAGCTAGATGGTCCCTGTTTACCGTTACCATTTGATACGGCCATAAACTGACACAGGACACATTTTTGTAAGATATCGACAGAGCAACTGGCATTATTATGCGCCAAAAAATCGTCAGAACTATTTGTATCCCCAAAATATTATTATTTTCGCATTTAGCTCTATTAGCGACCGCTGACGTGAACCCTGCAATATGTTCTTCGCTTGGTAACTAATCACGAAAGTAGAAACAACGTAATCAAGATTTGTACAGAATGAAAACAACTCGAACTTTACTTAAATGTCGTCGCGTAAAATATGTTGAAATGCTAATTGTAAATTCACTTGAATGATGATAACTTCGGTTTAAACACGTTTGCATGTGAATGACGTACTCCAAGGTAAGCTGTAATGTTTACAACGTCGTTAAAGAAAACGCCGTTAGTTTAACAACGTAATGAAAAGAGGCCAGTAAAAATAAAAACGTTAAGAACACGCCGCCAGCTGATTACATACACAAATATCTTGTTAGCTTGATAACGCACTCTATTGTAAGCCGTACGCTCAATTACGTCGAATGAAACCGATAGCCAGCTTGAAAACATAAATAAGTGCAGCTAACACGGTCCATTACGTCATTTAAAACACACCGTTATCTTCATAACGTAACTTACGGTAAAGAAAACAGTGAATACACTTTTTAAAAGTAAAAGAAATATCAGAATAAAATCCAGTGATAAATCAATTAATAAATTGTTAAAAGCTTTATATATGGACCGGGACTTGAAAGTCCTGAAACAGAAAAATAAAAATAGAATCAATCACGGCAAGTTTAGGTTGGTAGTAGCTTTACGGAATTGTTTTACGTCCAGGTATTTCCAACAAAAAAGTGGCCTATGGCAATTCACACCACATTCACCATACATCATTATACTATCTTTATGACAGTAATTACATATTAAATCCTATTTGTGTGTATGTGAGTGGGTTTGCGGTAATACGTGTGTGATACTAAATCGTAGAGCTAAGTTGTCTTATTTTGTGTCTTTTTTTTTAAAATTCCATCCAAATTAGGTTCTCCGCGCCTCGATCCAAGATTGTTCACAGTCCGAAAGATGTGGTTGGCCACTCATGATAATCTAACTATGAATGCCATGTTTCTGTCAAACCCGGAACCCTCATCATTCACATGGACTTTCCAGGACTCCTCACATAATTCGTTTACTGAGCTAAACGACGGGACAGACAACTTTGTTATACATAATACACCTTTTTCATCGAGCCTGTCAACTTTGTCAGTTGGGACACGTACGAACATAAAAGAGGCCTGGTTTGGATTATATAACGTAACGGCAAGAAACAGTGAGGGCTACGGGACACTCACTTTCACAGTTGCTGATAAAGGTAAATTAATAATTTAAGCATAAAACCGGCATTTTTAGTAAATTCCAGTTGCTTGACCTTGTTTTTCTCTTGGCGTTTTCGTTGTGTGCTGATAGTGCATATAAGACCATATCTGGTGCAGGCGTATTATGTGATATGGGAAATCTTTCATATACTTTATTTTAGATTTTTATTTCTGAGATACATTATGTATGCTTTGAACATGCGGTATCAATTTAATCAACACATGCAAACTGACATTGTAAAAGCAGTCCTGACGGCTAGACTTTTTGTTTTTTGAGTAAATAGGTATTTACATAATCCAATCCTGATTTTGATCTGTTTGCGTATTGCGAAAACGTTTTTGTAACCCGGGAAATCCTACTCACTGAGGTGTGAAACTGTCATGTATCATACACTGCAATAGCCTGAACGCAATTTACAAATTCAATATACAGTTCTGTTAAGATAACTGTCATATCACTGATGTACCTTTTGTAACAAATACTGATGAATATAAGCAAAGCAAAAGTCACAGACACCTAGCAAATATGATCTTCCTGTTCTGATACGTGGTACCCTGGGGGACCCCATTCTTGACAGTTTTACAGTCATTGTAGCATGTTCTGGATGCTTGGGATAAATACAAAATAAATAGATCAGTAATTTAATTCTTCCTTATTTTACACGAGTGTTCCGGTATTTTGTATAGTGTGTACTGCCCTCCGGATCAAACGATGGTTAAATGTTCAATTCTGAGCACGATTTGTGGAAGATAAGTGGATCGTGTGCGCACGGTATTGTTGGTACGATGTCATAGACTCACAAGAACCTAACATATATCTCATGAGTTGGTTTTAAGCAACTGGAGTTTTTAAGAAAATAAGGTTCTGAGAGATACAGTTTAGAATATATGCACCTTCTATGGTTTCATTCGCAATCTTATTAAATACATATGTCATGTACTAATATGGTATACGGGTCGATGCTTTTGATTATGTTCACTTTGTTGTTTCTTTGTCATTGTTCCAGGTCTTACTTTTAATTTATTTGGCTTTGGCCTAGATATACTAGGCAGGTATCGTTGATAAAGCAGAGTACGCTAACCTTTCCGAAACACATTGTCTTATTCTTTTTACTTTCTATTGTCTCTTTATCATACAAATATTTGTACTTTTCATATTTTGCCATTATGTTATTACTGTTGAGTTCGAACGACTTAATAAATGCCACTTTTAAGTTGACTGTTTGATGACAACAGTTCACTTAATGAATCAGGTATTTTTTTTATCATATATTGATTGGTTTTTAAAAGAAATACATATTCTACCTTTTGCTTAATAAAGAATGCTCCTGCAGTACTGACAGCATGTATGTAACAGGAGTTACCCTGATTTGTACCAGTATTATCACGCTCCTGTTAACAGTTGGACTTGGAATATTCATTAGTCGTACGTACATATTACTCAAATCTGTATTTGAAAAAAAATTGAAAAGAAATTGCAAAATTCATATATGAGTTTTATCAGCATTTTATATTGATCAATATTTTTCACTTGTTCTGTCTGATTATATATATCACGGATTGAACATACTCAAGACAACTGAATAACTTAAATGTACGTTCGTTATCTGATAACGTTTAACAAGTATACACTACTTTTAACATCTACCTATGTTATTTTACAGGAAATGGTAGACTGCCTTGTATGTAAGTAAATGAATGCCGACACCAAATCGACATATATTCTATTTAGGTGTTTATTAATTATTTCGTCTTTTCGTAAATATCGTGCTTATATTAATGATAATGCAATGTTGTAAAAATCAGTTTAGTTTGAAAAGCGTGCTTACTTAAAATCATACGATGTTAAGAAAATCATGTTCCGAAATTTGATGGTACAGTTGTGTGACCGCACAACGCACCAACATTAGCGTGCGCATATCGTGCTAACATCGAGCACACACCGTCCGCAACTTTGTCCCCCCATGGTGCGCACAATTGTGCGATTTAACAATCGTTGTGCGTTTCGCGATTGGGTTCAATTGGTTAATCAATATTACGGAATGAAAGAAATTCGAAACCCTCATATGAAATAAGAAACACTGTATATAATAATTGCCCATCATAGTAATTATGATTTTGTTCAATTTTACAATGCGTGTTACACAGTAACCATTAGACTTTTTTTAAAATGGGTTTGGTTACCAGGAAACAGAACTGGTAAATAACATTTTGACTGAAGTTTTACCTGGCCAGTCTCTGAAAAAGAGAGCTACATATACAATATGTGATGCCGTTTGACCGTAATTTATAACACAACTGGACGTAAAGTATTTGTTATTTGTATCTGTTTAATCTATAGCTCCAGTTCATCTTGATTCTAACACCTTAAGTAAGTGCCCCGGGTGGGAGAAACTACGTTCCAGGTACAGATACACAGCGGCTATGGTTACATGTACCTGGGTCCGTGTGTTATTTTACATATGTCGATTTGGGTCGTTTAATAAACGCCGTTTTTAAATTTAAGAAAAATACAGATCGAAAGATCAGCTAATATATGTAGCTAGAATATAGAAATATACTTAAAAATCAAATTTATAGGTGTCAACACGAAACGGTATATATTGTTAAAGCATTTCTAAATGTACACCAATCACGGTTGTCATCGCACAACGTTCGTTCATTATTAACAAATGTGCGCAATCAATAATCGTCCACATCGCGCGCACACCGCACATTGTGTAACGTTGTGCGATTCCACAACTGTATTTTGTGAAGTAATAGCTGTGAATTAAAAATATTTAGTAATTTCGTATATTGTTTTCTAGCAAAGGTCAGCATCTGAAACAAAGGGAATTTCAGAACGTGCAACTTTCAGAACGAGGTAAGTTCAGTGAAAAATGCTTGATATTCTGGTACACGTTGTGTAAGTGATCATGTCCAACATCAATAATTTCCTTTTTATATACAATTATTCATGTTGAGTAAATTTCGCAATATCGGTTAGGTTGTATACATTGAAATACAAAACAATTCAAACAATACCCAACTCTATATAACAATCGTTAATTTTTTTTTGGTTTCAGCTGTGACACCCAATGAAGAGGAAGACGAACGGTAATCTTGTTTGAACATTCAACACTTACTCAAAACAACATTTTAGCGTTATGGTTTGGTTTTATTTTATTCAAAGTCCATTTAACAGCTCGCTGAAAAACAATGCCGAATGCACCCAGCATAGCATTCCGTCCGGTCACATTGAAATGACAATGGGTGAACTACTTGATGCCATTTCCCCAAATGCTGAACGTTAAGCCGGGAACAACAGCTACCATTTTAAGGACTATGGTATTGTGACGTTTCCCAACATGGTCCGTACCAGTCACACTGAAGATTACGGCGCTATGTATCCAACAGCTCATTAACAGCGAAAACTCATCATTTTTTTCTTTTTTTTCAAACAGTACACAATATACTAAAACATTACGGGCATTTACTGGAATCCCACCGTTGCCGCCAATTTATGTGACGTTTCCCCTATGGTCCGTATCAATCACACTGAGTACATCTACCCCAAATGGGGTGCATCTATATTCTAGTATAGATGCCAATATATACAGATAAGTTAATCTAGCTCTGAAACATTGCCTATGTCCGAGCAATCACTGCTTGTGATCATGTACGTTTTGTACTAATAAATACCTACAGGGGATAGATACAAAGCAGTACCAATGTAACAGTAAATTCAAAATAACTACGCATATAACAATATAATACCTCATGCTAATCGGAGCGCTCCTACTACTGATCGCTCAGAACGTGCATATCTTTAGAACTCCTCTCTTGCTAATCTTGAGTTACACTGACAACTAACGAGCAATCACAGTGCCCGTGATCTATCAATGTAGCGGACCCGAACCAACACGATAGCTCGCCCTTGTAAGGTAGGATGCTTTCGATCGTAATGGGTAACAGTCTTATTCAGACATAAACTATCATTGAAAGCTCGCTCTCTAATATGCTTACAACTAACTAGTGATGGCCTGACACAGAATGACGAATGGCCGTGGCCATGCACGCTGGCCGACAGGTCGTGACCTGAAGGGCTGAAAGGCCGTGGCCTGAAAGTCTGTGCACGCTGGACGACAGGGCCGTGGCCGAAAAGCTGTGCACGCTGGCCGACGGGGCCCTGCAGTAGGTTTCAACATCAATCGCCTCTTACGATGCATGCAACAGGTAACAGCAGGTCTATTGTTTTCTCGATCTCTGACCTGCAAGGATGTGGTGTTATGTTAAATAGTAATATGTCTTTTAACTGTTAAATATTAGTATGTCTTTTACCTGTTAAATATTAGTATGTCCTTTAACTGTTAAATAGTAATATGTCCTTTAACTGTTAAATATTATTATGTCCTTTAACTGTTAGATAGTAACCATGTCCTTTAACTGTTAAATACTAATATGTCTTTTAACTGTTAAATAGTAATATGTCCTTTAACTGTTAAATAGTAATATGTCCTTTAAATGTTAAATAGCAGCATGACTTTTAACTGTAAAATTGTAATGATTGAAAACAAATAATTACATCGTTGTATTGGTTTTATCTTATATCTTCACAGATCTCAATATGAACAACTCGATACGAATGAAATTGCCAAGGCATCTGTGTACTCTGAAATAGGAAGTCATCTTCAAGGTAAAACGCACGCAATTTTCGTATTATAATGATACATTTCTATATACTAGCCCACAACAGAAACGTTAGATATACTTTCTTTAATGTACTAGAAATGCTATAAATTTACACTTTAAAAATCAATATATGTTGTGTCAGATAAATAAAATTATTCAAAAGTTTCCATGAAACGACAAAACTAGCGTTTATTCAGCGTACATAAAAAACAAATTCACAGAATCAATATTGCGTGAACGAACCTCTGGACGTTGACCACAACCTAAAAACTACCTCGCACGGAAGCGATGAGTCGGTTCAAAGACTTCATCGGGAACTTCTGTCACTGCACCTGTAGGACTGTCCTCCAATTGTTGCAACGATTAAGGCTGCTGACGTCAATTTCTCACTCGTCAGTCCGACTGATCCCTCCTCAGTGGGATTAAAATCTGGAAAAGGCGATAACCACTAACACACATTGACATTACGTTGACGAACAAATCCCGTGTTGAGAAGGAAAGTCCGTGTTGACGCGTACGACACCAGCACATTCGTTATCCTACTGAAACGTGTCACCATTTGTTATCATTAAATTCAGATGTAATGATAATGCCTTTTTTAATTATTTAAACAAAAAATAAATGAATATCTTGTTGGTCCTGGTAGAGGTCCCGGGTGGTTTTAATGTTGGATGAAAATACAGTGTTGTTTCATCTGTATATAAACAGAGTGTGCTCGGATTTGAATGCATGGAATAAAACTTATAAAAAAACTGTGGTATTTACATACAAATGAATGTTTCCGGGGGATAATATAACTGTTTTAAGGTTGCTTGTTTTGTAGGTCGCCGGCGAGATCCAGTCAATGACAAGTGAGTTTGTACCAATACATATTTTTAATTACCATGACTTGTAAACACATGTAATATAACTGTGTCACATTATTCATTATCTTTCAACGTTTGGTGCTGGCAAATTTAGGATGGTGCATAGTTTATAAGATATTTTAATTTTGTTGCAGCAGAGAATACGAGTCATTGGAGGGTCGGTCTAGCCCAAACGTCTATGAAGATCTCCATGGCACAACATCTGGTAGGTTTCTATATCGTCTGTCAGATAAGCGATACATGAAATAGAATCAAAATATTGCACAACTTTAAACACAGCTTTGCAATTATATTAATTAACATCAAAATGACCATGTCAGCAGCCCTCACCTCTGCGATTGTGACAGCCGCGGTTATAGTTATTGAGCATGCGACTGGTATAATTTTATGAGTATACATCCGTTACAGTATGGCAGAAATATTGCGTTTTCTAACGTACTGTGCTATTCACGAGCTTTATCTGAAAACACAGGGAGATATCTACACGTGTGATTGACTTAAATGCAGCGTGTGCTACTTGGAAGGTGCATATTGTGTTCCGCTCCAAACTGTTAATGGTACAAACAGTAGTTTGTGTTTTCAGCATTATAGATTGAGAGGTAGATCGTCGAGGGAGTTGTAAACCTATCATGTCTTGATATGTATATCTACAATAGGAAGTGCATTGTCCTAACCGCACGACAGCACTGCTAGGATTGTCGCCCATGTATGGATTCATCAGTCGCCTGATGACAGCCAGTCAATCAGGCGAAAACGCTACCAAGTATGTTTATAGTTTATATATTCCCATTGTACAGAGCACACAGGCACTATGTTATTTATTTCTCTCTCTATATATACCCTTAACGACGAATCCCGAATTACATTTTACTGTATATACCCGTATGTCCTGAATGATATTGTAGTAATGTGATGCGACTGTTAAAAACTCGAGAAATTGTAGACTAACAATTTGACGGCAATTTTATAGTTTATTTTTCCATTTAAACTTGAGTAAGACGCGGTTAAATGTTTACTGGCGCATAAGGCGAGTATTTATTTCATGATTTTTTTTTTCAAATTGCAAGATTGTTTTTGAAATTCTGTTTGCGTAGAAATATGTAAACTAAAAGTCTCGTAAGCGATATGTGTGCAATCACTTCATTCCGTTTCAATTAGCACGGACCAAATTGAAAATGCACATGATGTCATATTCCCCTAGGAACATTCGTCAACCAAAATAAAAAGGTGTATAAAGTTTGGTTAATACAAATGTAAATGTATGTTATACAATATACGAAGTAACGCGACAGAAATTAGCACTTGAATTATTTGTTAAATTCATATGTATATATGTACAGTATTCTAGAAGATGTAGCGTTTGCTAAATTATTGTATAGATTTAATTTGTTGCTAATTGATTGAAATTCTATTTAAATAGTATTGTTGTATCGGTTTTGACAATTAGGTATTTAGATTTATCAATTTTTAACGTGTCTTCATTTTATTCTTTTTGTTATATTACCAAACAAATGTTTGTGTCAAAAGACCCAAGTAAAACTGTTCATGTAATAACCGTGGTTTTATATATCGTAGTGCTACCCTTCAAGTATCTATAAATCAAATAAATCATGCATGGATATATTTCAACTGGCTAGTAGCTACGTTATATTTATGTGATGTTTAAACGAGTAACTGATTTTGAATCATGTGAACTTGAATGTCAGTCAATGTCGTACAGTTTAACAAACTTCGAACCCATTTACGCCACCATAGTACTGTACTGACCCGATTGCATTAACGTAGGACATATGGTTATTCAGGAGAAGAGGTTAAAAAAAACAACATATATAGGCTAAATTAATTTGAATTAACTTGGTTATCCTTCATCCGAGCATGCTTATAGCTAAATATCCTCACTGTAGGCCTGGGTATTCAGAGCACGTTCGTTGAAATCGTTAAAAACAAATAACATATGTGATCGTAAAAATAGATGAAAGTCAATCATTTTAACGAATTCCGAATTCCTTCATCAAAACACACTACTGGTTAGAAATACATGTATGGCCCTATACTTCTTAAAAACACGAGAACAATGTTTTAAACCAATACAAACAACCTTATTTGATCACTACCGTATCGCAAATGTTGACATTTTCCCTAATAATATTTCCAAAGAAAATTAAGCAGTGGCGTCCTCTCCATTATACATGAACAAACAAGGAATACCTTGTTTTTATTGTTGGTAATGTTTGACTCTTTCACATTACCTTAAATAGGTCAAAATTATAACTTCAAACAGTTTCGATGGTAATCCACCTAGCATGTAACAGGTAATATATGATGACTTTTCCTTTGTCTTAATACATAATCAATACAAATGAATAATAAACTGCTGAAATACTAAATAGCCCAATGTCTTTTGGTGTATATGTGTATGTTATGTACAGCTCTGGTCTTGGCGGTTGGCGTGATTGAATCAAATCAGAACCTTATAACCATACACTCCAGTCCTCTGCATGGTTCGGTATATGCACAAACAAGAACCTGCCGACGTTGATCCTGATAGCATTTACAATAAGTGTAGGGTGTCGAAGATGTTTATGATATGAGAGAGCTGATGCTAGATATGGCAGGTGGAAATCTATACCAGTACATATCCGTATTGGGGAAACTAATAGTAAGTATCTCCTAGTCATTACAAAATGATATAAGAAAAGTTCCACGGTAAAGAAATATTATGTCATTTTAAAAATCAAAACAATGGGAAACTTGTTTTATTAATCATGATGGAGAAAGATTTCCTTTTGTTATTGTGGTGTCTCCTTTTTGCAGTTTTTTTCTATGTAGTTTGTTGGCTATGATTAAGACCTGATATATTTTCTCCATTTAATTCTTTGTGACATTTAAATGATTTTTAGAAATCAAAACAAAGTTTGTGTTAACCTACTACTGTTTGTTATAGTGAAATATACTGTTGGTAGTATTGTGATTTTAATGTCAAACAAATGGTCAAAATAAAGTATCTGTTTTTATGAAGAGTTTGGGCATCCTTCAACACTAGGGAATAGGAATTTGGTGTCAATGCATATTATGTCACACAGTAATAGTTGCTCAGCCTCTATCAGCACATGCAAATTGGTGAACATAAACTGTCCTTGTCGTTTATAATATATCGAAAACATTGATAATGTATATTGGCTATAGTTATCGTATATTTCCTTAAAATGATGTCAGAAAACAGATATAACCAGTAAATAAAATGAAGGATGATATATCAGTCCCAATAAGGTATTATGATCGCAACATCAAATACTCATTGTGAGGTTAGCGAACGGTGCACATAGTCATTGAAATGTAGTTGAAATAAAGAGTAGAACTGGATGTGGTAATTTTCTTGGGTCTAAAAAAAATGAGCAAACGTTTAGTGACCGAAATAACAAGATATAACCCGACTTTACATTATCACTTCAACGCAAGTCTGTTGATAAGTAATGCGCATATGTGTCTGGATATCTCTAATTCAATAACCTGACTGAAGTATAAAACCAAATATCACATCTTAGTTGTAAAACCTGCCTACTCACATTTCATCTAATACGACACAAACGCCCTAGACAAACAGCGGGATGGTAAGCACTCTTCAAATACTTCCTTGTTAGTTACCGGATAACTGAATTAAACTCTCTAACTCGAGTACCTACTTAGTGCTGACCTCGTCAACAGAACATTGAGATGATAATGTGATGATGTATATTTTCTAATTCTAAAGCGTATATTTTACCAGCTACAGAAAATACTATAGACAGTTGCTTTGTACGAAGTTAATATTTTGTTCTCTCAATCATAACTTTTTTTCAATTGTTGATTACATAACAAACGCTATTAAACAAATAAGATCTATAAAAGAAGAACAACAGATAAAATGATGATATGAAATAACATTTTACTTAAATTATTGACATTGACAGATAAATGAAAATGTACTGATGAACAATATGATGTTGATCGTTATGCTCCTAGGAAATACTGTGGGATACATGTACAATGAATGGTGTGTCATGCCCCATGCCGTTCAGTCCACTTTACATATCGGCAAGAGGAATATCACCAAAACGTATGTAACATTTCTGGTAGCAAATTACATATGGATATGAAAAGTATACTGAATGCAAACAGAAAACTTTGGTTGTCGGTCATAGCACTTCTTTATGTGTTGCTCCTGGTACTGTCATCTGTGTAAGGCACATACGTTTGGTGTTCAAGAAGTAGACGTCTACTGTAACGTCGATACGCAAAAACACTGTGATACGTTTATCTCACTTTTCGGAATCTTTTTCAAACGTCGATGAAAACCATGAAGAACGCCATTGGTAATCGTTCACCCCGAGTGTTCCGTGAACGGTCAACACTCGATTGTGCGATTTTATAATAAAGCCACGCCATCCTTACGTCTGACCGCAATTTAACCAAAGACACGTCAGCCTTGTAATAGAACAATATCAGACCATACGTTTGAAGTGCATTTTCTGTATTTGATTGGCCATTTGACTGAAGATACATCTGAAGCCCGTTGTATGTAAAAAAGATGCACTGCCTATGCTTGACTGTTTTCATGATTCAACTTTATACAACATCATTTCCGACATGTTCAAGTCCTTGTATTACTTCAGGTATTTGCATACCGTCTCGATCCTAAAACATAATTGGACAAAATAAGCATTCTTAGAAATCCAGGATAATCACGTCACTACTGAACTGTTTGACCATTAATTAAGTAGTACCTTGCATGGATTTGGTGTTGTCATTTCAGATTAGCATTTCAAACTTTTGTTCAATCAGTTGTCGCTTCTACAAAGCTGCATTATAGTATGAATCTACTTAACTTATTTTCAGTTACATGTAGCTACAGCCAATCTGTACTTTATTAAAACAACTAACCTTCATCTACTTGCAGTTGTTCGTTTTCGTGTGTGACTGGAACGCCCTGTAGTGGTGCATATTTTTTTCAGTGGACACAAATCTCAAATTAATACCGCACAACTGTTTTAAAAATACCCTTTGATGTGAAAACTGATCAATTTGAGTGTCCACAATATATATTTTAAAACTGGGAAGAAAGATTTGTAACATAAACAGTATAAGCTGACTTGTGTGTTTTGAAGCATACATATATCATATCTAAAATCAAATGAAATTAACTCTCACCTTTCATTTAGGTAATAGTTTTCAGATTGACAATGCCAAGCTTCCGTTCATCTGTCTGTTTGTCTGTCCGTCCGTCCGCCCGTCCGTTGTTAAGCTTTGCTTCAATA